AATAGGGTCCTTTTGGGGCTTGGGGCTTGAAACGAGAAGGGTACAGTGGTGGCAGCAGCAGATCTGGGCAGCAAGTACTATGGAAAAACTGGGGAGGGCATGTGCGAGTATTGTTTTTGAGGTTTTTGCAGACTGCCTGCTTTTTTAATTTGCTTCAAAAAATCTCCCAGGAATTGATTTCAAACTGACTGCTTCCCACGTCCTTTTTTCCCCCCTTTCTTGCACACTTCACATGTCCTCCATGATTTCTCAAAGATAATAGACATTGGGTCTGAGAGTTCTTCTACCAACTCCTTTATGACTCTTGGATGAAGTTCATCAGGCCCTGAATATTTGAACCAATTCAACCTAATTAGATGATCCTTGAACATTTGGGTATCAATCTTGAGCTGCCATCCTCCTCCTTCACTTATACTTCCCCTTCAGCAGGAAGGTTATGGGTCTATTTTTGGGAGAAGACTGAGCCAAAGTAGGAATTGAGCACTTCTGCCTTTTCTTATCATCTGTTATCATTTTGCCACCCATATTGAGTAGTTGAATATCCATTTCTTTCCTCTGTCTTTTACTTTGAACATAGCTGAAGAAGGCTTTTTTGGTTGCTTTTAGCATCCCTCAGTAGCCTCAGTTTATTCCTAGCTGTAGCTTTCCTGATGCCATCTCTTCAATTCCACGCTTCCTGCCTGTATTCTTCCTTTGTAACTTTGGCTTCCTTCCACTTCCTACACATACCCTTTTTGTTTTCAGATCATCTATGTACTTTTTGTGATGCCACATGGGCTTCTTCTGTTGTCTTCTATCCATTTTCCTTGTTGGAATTGTTTGTAGTTGTGCCTTTATATATATTTTTTCTTAAATTCCCACCCATCTTGCACTCCTTTTATCAACATAAAGGAAGGAGCGCTTACATCCATATATGCCCAGCCGCCCCCTGAGATCAGCGGGAGAGGCCCTTCTCCAGGAGCCCTCCGTGAAAGAAATTAGGAGGGTGGTTACTCGGAGGAGGGCTTTCTCAGCGGTGGCGCCTAAGTTATGGAATGCGCTCCCCAGAGAGGTCCGCCTGGCGCCGTCGTTATTTGTTTTTCGGCGCCAGGCAAAGACCTTTTTATTTAAGCAGCATTTTAAATGTTAATATTATTGAATTTTATCTGGCCAGGACGGCTTATTTTATATTGTATATTTGTATTTTATTTTAATGTCTATGTTTTAAAATGTTATTTATGATGATTTAACTTGTTGTTGTAAGCCGCCCCGAGGCTTTGGCGAATGGGGCAGCATAAAAATGTTTTAATAAATTAAATAAATAAATAAATAAATAAACAAACATAGTCACTTGCCATAGGACTTTGCTCATCATTGTTCCGAGTTTATTAAAGTTGGCTTTCCTAAAATCCAGGGTACATGTTTGATTACATTTGGCTTTTGCTTTCTTTAGAATTCAAGTATAGCATGGTGACTTCCCCCAAGAGTTCCTGTAGCTGCCACTTTGTCCAGTAGACCTTCCCTGTTGGTTAGCATCAAGTCAAGGATAGCTGTTCTTCTTGTTCCTTTCTTCACTTTCTGTTGGAAAAAATCAGCAACATATGTTAGGAATCTCCTGGAGGGGCCATATTTGACAGAATTTGTCTCCCAACTGATATCTGGGAAATTGAAGTCCCTCATGCCAACAATATAATGCCTTCTTGAAACACTGGCAATTTGCTTTTCAAAGCATCATCCTTGTTTTCTCCTTGACTGGGTGGTTGGTAATACATTCTAACTACTGTGTTCCTTTCATTCCTTGCTCCATTTATATTCATCCAGATGCTCTCAATGGGGCTACCCAGCTCATCTTCCTGTATTTCTATGCAGAGATATGTATTTTAACATATAGTGCAACTTTGCCTCCTTTCCAAATCCTGGTCAGATGCTCTCTAATTTTTAATCATAAATAACCCCGTTTTATGCAATACTTAGTTTCATATGTTTACATTTAGCAAATAACACACCCATCAGATTCAACTGACAGTGAAAATACTTTCAAATGCCTGAAGCATGGGGTCATTAACAAAGATCCATTCTCAGCTAAAGTGCTATAACAATACTGGAATAAATATAACATTCTGAATGAAGTAGATATAAGCCTATTTATCCTCTGTCTGTGCAAACAAACAAAACATGAACAGACAAATCACTGTTTCTCAGCCCAAAAATGATGGACTGAAAGCTGCACTACCTCGATAGAATTTATCTTAAAATTCTAAGGAGGACCATGTGCTTAGCCTCTGGCAAGCACAATCCCAATGGCAAGTTTGTGGTTTGAAATACGTTTCAATAAGCCATTGCTAGAAAGGTGTACCAGACATGCACTTGATCGAAGACTGCCACCCTGTGTGTAAGACTGTGTGTGGGTATTGCTTGCAGAAGAATAAATGTTTGTAAAATTCAAGTGTTGTCAGAAAACAATATAAATGTATTATGATATCCCAGCTGTCTTTATTGGCATGTTAACTTTTGTTTCAAATTTCATCTGCAGAAAGCTGCTCTATAAAGTCATTTGGGAATAACTGCTGTATTGTCATTAAAATATTTTAATGAGTGTAATGTGAACTAGATCCCTAAATTAATCTCTGTGCAGTTGTTAGAAGAAGAAAAACACAGTAAAGCTATTATTACATATTGTGTTAACCTAAAATGCACTACTTATTTTTAAATGGATCATAGCCAAGGCGTGTTTCTTGAACAAGGGACTACATTTTTGCAAATGATCTTGGGCAGATGTAAACACAAACCTTGAAAGGAACTTGAAAGTCTGGATTCAACTGACAAGGATAGGCAATCATTTGAAACTCCAACAGTCTTTCTTTAATTATGTGAACGCCATCAGGATTTTGGCTGGTTTGGGGATTTGTTCATTCCACGGTTTGTTTTTATAGTGACTACAGGGAGTTTATGGTACTGGGGGAATCATGATTGGGCTAGTATACATGCAGGAAAGTTGATGATAACTCTGTACTGTCAACATGTAAAGTTGCCTGATTTTAACAGGAAAAATTACAGTGAGCTGTCTTGAAGATTCAGAAAGAACTGTTAAATCAAAGCAATTGTGTGTTGATGATATTCTCTTGAAGAACACAGTTATGGGTAGGCAATGAGATCCCTCGTTGGATCAAATAACAACTGAAACCTCTCTATACAATGCAGCTGTCAGGTATTTCTCCAAAGAGATTTACTGCCTCCATTTCCTCCCATCCAAAAGGCAGTGACACAGAAACGACCTACACAGTCCATAAAGCTGGCAAGGGATGGAAGCAGCAAGTATTTTCTCATGCGTCTAGACCTCTGTTGAAGAACATGTTGCTGTTCCTGTTTCAGAGAAATACTATGCAAGTTTACAAACACACTGAACAGCGTTCTCTTATGAGTTAGTGTCTGTTGTAGTGACAACAGTAGAACAATAACCAATGCCTTGGATGCACAGTGTCCTGAAGCTTCAGTCTCCTTCCCTATTCTACTCCACTCAATTTTTTTTCTGCTCCTTTCTATGGAGAGGTGATGTTGGTATGTGCATGTGACTTGTAATCATATTGCTTAGAGGAAATTTACTCTTAGTGGCTAATGAGAGGTTCAAGAGGTAAAGTATCCAGAGTTGTGTAAATTATGTACTAAGGAGTTTTTAAAGTCATGTCTGCATAGTATAAAACCTACAAACCAGTTGTAGCTCCGTCAATGATCATTTGCAGACCTCTTGAAAATTTATAGTGCTCATTGTTGTGAGCCTTTATCAGCATATTGTGGGAATATCTATGACTTGTTCAAGCCCATTCATTTAGGCAGAAATGAGAGAATGCAGACCTAAGAAGAACTCTGCTGGATCAAACCAAAGGTCCATCTAGTCCTGCACCCTCTTCCCACTCGATACCTGTGGGAAACCCACACACATGGGTCCAATAGCACCCTCCTGCTTATATAGAGCTAGCATACTGGCTCTAATGGTGGAGGTAATGTAGCTATTGATAACCTTATCCTCCATGAACTCATCTACTCCCTTTTAAATACTGCCAGTGATAGCTAGCAGTTATCACTGTATGCTGTGGTAGCAAATTCCATAGTTTAAGTAAGTGCTGTTTGAAGAAGTATTTCCTTCTGTCTATCCCATTCAGCTTCAATGGATGAACCCCATTTCTAGTATGATGAAAAGAAGAAAAACTTGACAGCTACTATATATACTACTTGACTACTATACTACCTGGCACATGCATCTCTTCTTGGATTTAGCCATGTGAGGAGCTGTGTTGCCAGAATGTGTGTGTGTTTAATGCACTGCAGGTTAGCAATACAGAATGAGCTTTCTTGTGTCTCAGATTCCCTTTATATATGAATTGTTAGAAGAGTTTTCAGAAGGTGAAATGGTTGTATTATGTTGGTGTCACTGACCAGAGCCTGGAGAGCAAAGATAAGAAAGCAAGTGAGAAAGGGAGGCAATTTGAAAAGGGGGGAAGATGGAAGGAATACATTGTTCGGGGGGGGGGGGCGTGTTTGAGGCTGACCCAATAATGCTGCCTTCCCCTGTCCTTCATTCGGAGACCCAAATCTCTGAGAGGACATCTGCCGCTGCAGCCCATGGGGACTTGCTGAAAGCAACTTACAGGAGCTCTGATGATCTCTGTTGTATCATTTAATTGGCTTTTAGCCCACATTTGCTTCACAAGTGGAGGTATTTTCCTCCCTCTCTTCCCAACCATGTTCTGTATTGCTACCCTTCTCATTTCTATCAACTCTTTTGATTTGATTTTCCTTCTTTCCCCCACCCTGATTGTTGTCAATTATCATGGAATCTTCCTGATGTTCCCCCTATGTAGGTCACCCTACATAGGGTGTTGTTCCAGCAGGGCTTGTTACTAGTTGCATGAAAAATTATCTCAATATAGTGTTCGTACTACACTTTCCCTTGTAGGAAGCCATTAAGTGCTTAAAAGAATGTAACTTTTGAAATACATATTCCACTTCCTTTTTCTTCACAGAATATCCCTACTTTAGGAAGTGTAGCAATAACCATGGTGCTTCACAATTGTGATGAAGTAGCAGTGGCTGGATTTGGTTATGATATGAACTCTCCAAATGCACCACTACATTACTATGAGAACATCAAGATGTCTGCCATCAAAGAGGTAAGGAATTTTGCATTCAGTATGCATTAGTCATGATAGCCAAACCCATATTCTGAGGCAGTATACCTATGAATTTTAGATGAGGGAAATATCCTGAAGTATTTTCCTGGCCTCTTTGGAAAACAGCATGGTATACTACATCATGGATGCTTGGTCTTATCATGCAGGCCTGTTTTTATAAAGCAAAATAATATCTGGTTATTTCCTTTATGTAAAAGAAACTAGGAAAGCATACAAAGCAAATCCAGCAGCACCTGGTCATTGTATTCTTAGGGGCTCAGGCAAATAATATAAGCTCATATTTCATATGACTGGTTAGAGAACTTATTTGCAGTAGAATTCTGTACTTCTTGCACTTCGAGTGCATTCATCACAAAAGAATAGTTACAGGAAAATAGGATATAGAATGAATAATTCAGAATGCTTGATTTTTCTGGAATAAAGAACTTAGCAAGTTTTCCTTGGTCATTTCCCTTCAGTTGACTTTCAGTTCTTACTTCAGCTGTGTCTATACTATAAATTCAAACTGGTTTTAATTAGTTTCTAACTGTCAAGGACAATGCTGGAAACTACTGTTTTTATGAGGATATGGAGAAGTTTTTATTGGAGATCCCAAAACAGAGCCATATTTCCCAGAATCTTTGAGGGGAAAGGTGTTACAGTTTAAAGTACAAATACATATTGATTTGATATGCAGCTACATGCCATAAGGATCTGGGAAGTAGGGGAGAAAGGGCAGGATCTGAGCTCAAATTATGGGCATTTTCAATGAAGAAACAATTAAAACCATAATCAGGCAAAATCTTGCTTTTATTGAAATAGTTTCTGAATTATTAAAGCTTATTCTATGATGAATTTGTTGCTTTAGAACTGTTTTCCCCCCAGGAGGGCTTTTTAAACAATATTTGGAGTAATATGGATACCAGCACATTAATTTTGAAAGTCAGATGATCATCTCTGTACATTCAAAGGAGCAGAGTGCCATCAACTGAATATGACAGTACAGATTTTCCTTGTTTCCAGTTGGCAGAAAGAGAGGATTTTTCTTGGACTGCTTGGACAGTTCAAAAGTGATGCATTGTTTTGCATCGAGCAGTGATAATATGTGGCTTATGGGTGTTGTAGAGTCATATAAAATCCACCTGGTTGTTAGGTAAATTGGCAATCAAATTCAATTGCTACTTCTACTTTCTTACTAAATCCTTACAGTCATAAGAAAGAGGACCTCATTCCAACATAGACTACCTATTCTTGTGATCTGATTTGTGCGTACCAGACTAATCCTCACTTCTTAGATACAGGTTCTCTTAGGTTTCACTCTCCCTAATACATGAAGAACCATCTGCTCCAAAGTATCAATAATTTATTACTCTGCAGCCTTCTTTTCTCCCCTCTCAACTAATTGTTTGCAATATTATGGAATCTAACTAGATGAGAGAGGATTGCATTTCTGCCTCACCTTTCATTTTTAGTATTAATGACAGCTAGTAATTGGTAGTTGCTTGGGGATTAATCTGAAAGGTAAAAGGGACAGTAGCCAGATATGTCATCTTCTGTTTTTCCCAGGATGATGAAAAGAAGTTTGTAATACTGCAAGACTGGTGTTCCATAATCAGTAGACTATGCAAATACTAGGAGGTGAGAAGAATGTTATGTCATTAATGAACCATAGTTGCTGTCCCTAGTAACCAGTGCTCTGGAAAGACCTTTTAGTACTAACTGACCTGAGGTTGTATCCCTCCTCCATTTTTATAGGCAAAGGATCTAGTTGCTCATGTTACTTTACTGATGCTTTTTGGCAAGGTGTTCCATCCCATGCCATAAAGAACCAGTTCTATCTATGGTACTTTGAATGTCAGCATTTGTGCCAGATAGGTGTAAGATTTATAGGTATTGAGAAAAAGAGGAAATTAATCATCAGCAGCTCTTGAGATGCAATTATGTACAACAATGGAAGAGAAAGGTAATAAGGATTTGTTGATTTACATTTCCTGCTTCTATTCTATTCATTTGTATGTGCATTAAAAACTTGAATAGTTCTACATGGACTTAAAATCTGTGCCTTTTGAAAGGATTTATCCAGGAAGGTAGGTGTGTGTAAGTTTGGCACCCAAAGCAACTATTAAGTACAATGAATTACATGAGTTTAAATGGCTTTGTCATGGGATGGGAGAACATAATAAAATTCAATTAATGATAAGTAAAAATAAACATGTAGTCATATGAAGGAAAGCAATCCAGAGATGACTGTGAGGCAGCCTCCAAAATTATGGCATGTGTTGCTAAGCAGAGAATGAATGGGCTAGCCCTCACGTTACACAAGTCAATTCCTACACAAAGCAACTTCAATCCACGAGTCAGAACACTGGAGCTTGAGGTAGCCTGAGTGTGCTTTAAACTAGGATTCCTGGTGCAAATCTATGACTATCCTTTGTTCCTTTAAAACTGAAGGTGAAATTCTGCCGAAGTCATCTTGGCCACACAGGAGCAGAGAAAAAGGGGGTGCACATTAGGCTAACACTGCTCTCAGGCTCATTGGGACTTGTCTACATAGTAGTAAATCATGGGTCAAGCATGAGCTGGTTCCTTCCCTCATTCCTTCTGGTTCTCAAACTCAAAACAATCTTTTGAAGTGCAGTGCTTTTACTGAAAACTCAACAGATTACATAACCATTTGAACACTAAATAGTGTTATGCCACAGTTGAGGGAGAAGCATTTGCCCATGTAAAAAGTTGAATCCAAACTGGAAACTTCCCCTCAGACCTCCCTTTCTGTGCAGCTTCTGGCTCCACCCTCAGGATGGTTCTTGCTACTTGAGAGCAAGATGGCTGGAGACCTTCTACCTGGGCAACTCTTTTCTCCCATCACCTCCATACTGGTTCTCTCATCTGCTCCTTCTCCCATCCTGAAAACCCTTCTGCCTCTTCCAAAGCTAGGTATCCTTAAATCAATGAACTAGGTAACTTTAAATCAGTGAACTCCTGCTCTACCCCAGCTCTTTCACCTCTTGCTAAGAATCAGATGAATCTATCTGAACAATCTATAATGAGCAAGAGTTGTGCCCACTCCGTACAGGCCCAATTATGTATTTCATACCCAGTGCTGCATGATGTATTGGTGCAGGAAGAAAAAGATATCAACAAATACAATCACTCAGTATAAAATGTGGGGGACAATCTCCTCCCTCCCAGTAAGCCCAGTTACTTTACTTTCAGGAAGGTAAAGGAGCCCTTCCCACAAATCTCCATTGTTTTTCTGTGGCAATTAAAAATAAAAACTCTGCCTAATTCTATGTATTTGATATGTGTGCGTGCATGTGTGCATGGGAGCTGCTCTGGGAATGTCCATCAACCAACAATTCTATTGTACTGTGTCTTAGAGGGAACAGACCTGCAGGCTACAGTGTGTGTTCCCTAACACAAGGTGTGTCATTGATTTACACGCAATGTCTGCTTGACATCTCCCTGGACACCCTTTAAAAGCCCAGTGACTCATCTCAAGGGAATTTCTTCTGAATACACACAAAGCCAATGAATTGCATTTGTTTGCAGCTGGGTGGAGATGGCCCCTCCTTTGCCAAGACATGGTTGATAAAACCTCAAGATAGAGACTAATGTCCTTTCTCCTACTACATTGCTGCCCTTGGTGAAACTACAGATTTTGTGATATTTTAAAGGGGAAAATGGTAATCATGCAATGTATGCAATACTGGGTACCAGCTAATAATGCAGGGTGTATCTTGTATACATAAAATAGTGTGTAAATCACCCAAGAAACACTCGTCTAACCTAGATGTATCAGGCAGAATTTACTGAGCTCAAAGTGAGCCTCATGATTACAAATATCCTTCCAGTAAAATAACCACTGAACATCTTTAAAAAAACTTCACTGAACAGATTAGGCAGATGACTGGCCTTCTTTTTAGTCAGTGTGTATTGCATTGTGGTCATCCCCTTCAAACATAAGCACAAGTCCACTCTTAGTCAACTTTGATTTTATTAGATTACGGAAAAGTTCTATATCATCCTTAAATCCAAAAAACTCCTTAATGACATAGAATGGAACAAGACCTTGTACTTTTAGACTGGTTTAGTTGACATGTGTGTCCCCTCACATCTGTGAGGAAGGAGGCAACCATGGAAGAGCCATTGTATGTGCAGGTCCTTAATTTTGTTCCTAAACAGCCTACACCTTCAGTTTCATCCTAGGTCTTCACATGAATAACAAAGGCCAAAAGCTTGTCCTGGCATAGAAAGAGATGTCTATGGCACTATATAGTACAAGGGAAGTCCTGTTGGATAGAGCTCGAAAGAATGGCCAAGTTTACTTTTTTTTGTTTTAGTTTCATTTGTCTTATCCTATGGGAAAGGAGTATGGCAACGCTGTATACTGTCCTCCTGCCTATTTAACTTATATGCAGAGCACATCATGAGAAAGGCAGGGCTAGATGAATCACAAGTTGGAATTAAGATTGCCAGGAGAAATATCAACAACCTCAGATATGCAGATGATACCACTCTAATGGCAGAAAGTGAAGAGGAACTGAAGAGCCTCTTGATGTGGGTGAAGGAGGAGAGTGCAAAAGTTGGCTTGAAACTCAACATTAAGAAAACTAAGATCAGGACATCCAGTCCTCTCACTTCCTGGCAAATAGATGGGGAAGAAATGGATGTAGTGACAGATTTTATGTTCCTGGGCTCCAAGATCACTGCAGACAGGGACTGTAGCCCAGAAATTAAAAGATGCTTGCTCCTGGGGAGGAAAGCTATGGCAAATCTAGACAGTATGCTAAAAAGCAGAGACATCACCCTGCCAACAAAAGTGTGTATAGTCAAGGCTATGGTTTTCCCAGTTGCAATGTATGGCTGTGAAAGTTGGATCATATGGAAGGCTGAGCGCCGAAGAATTGAGGCCTTTTAATTGTGGTCCTGGAGTAGACTCCTGCGAGTCCCTTGAACCGCAAGGCGATCAAACCGGTCAGTTGTAGAGGAGATCAACC